TAACATGATCGGTCCACAATGTCATAACACTCACGTCTGTGATGACAGGGAGTAACATGATCAGTCCACAATGTCGTAACAACGACGTCCGTGATGCCAGGGAGTAACATGATCAGTCCACAATGTCGTAACACCGACGTCCGTGATGACAGGGAGTAACATGATTGTATTCAGACCTGACATATACAAGTTAACCATGTTACACATCGTCACAGTATGTGATACACACTGATTGTATTCAGACCTAACATATACAAGTACCCAGGTTACATATTGTGATGGCATGGATACACACTGATTGTATTCAGACCTGACATATACATGTTAACCACGTCACACATCGTCACTGCATGTGATACACACTGATTGTATTCAGACCTGACATTTACAAGTACCTAGGTTATATATTGCCATGGCTGACGGGTTAATAGTTTGACATGACAATAAGCCCCAGCTAGAAATAGAGTGAAGCAATCTCTTCTATTGTCATTATTACAGAAGGAAATATATGATGAAAAAAATGGTTCTTATAAGCATGTGTTTACATTGACAATAACTCGTTATCTATAAACACATGGCAACAAAAATATAACCACTCCGCCCCTAAAGTACAACCCTTGAAATGACCTCTGGCACGACCTCTTGGGTGACCCCTGATACAACCCCTGATATCGCCCCTAAAGTACAACCCTTAAAATAACCTCTGGCATGACCTCTTGTGTGACCCCTGATACAACCCCTGATATCGCCCCTAAAGTGCAACCTTTGAAAATAACCTCTGGCGTAACCTCTTGTGTGAACCCTGATACAACCCCTGATATCGCCCCTATAGTATGACCCTGCAAATACACTCTGGCACGACCTCTTATGTGACCCCTATACAACCCCTGATGTCGCCCCTAAAGTATGAGCCTGGAAATAAACTCTGGCATTATTTCATGTGAAACCCCGCGAGTATCGCAACTTTTCGTATACGACTCAAGAATATATCCGTTAAATGAATACACGCACGCACGCACGCACGCACGCACGCTCGCACGCACGCACGCACGTTCGCACACACGCACATGCACGAACGAAAGCACACACACGCAGACACACGCGCACAATCACACGCACGCACACGAATAGAGAATAAACAACTTGTATGACTTTTTATTTGAAAAATAAAACACAACATAAGGACATAAAACAACACCAAATCAGAAAGTTTTTCGAGTAGAATTACTGACTTTAGGAAAACAGTTCTTTCTTAAACATGTTCCACATATTGTTCTGATCTCAATATCATATAATGTGCTACACAATTTACTAAAAGTAGGGTTTTTCTGTTCTGGTATACGCTTTCGTAAGTGGGATGGAAATGTAACAATACAAGATTTTCATGATTACAATCATATGAATTTCATGGAAAATCACAAAAACAGACAGCAGGATATCAATATCAAGACTACATTCAAAATGCAAACATGAGTAATAAGATTGCATAGCTCAAATTACAACTGATTTATATTATTTAAAGTTTACGAGTACGTTCACATTAATGTCCCCACAACTTGAAGATGGTGATTCTTGTCTTGGTTTAAATCTAACTCTGATACGTTTCGGAAGAAATAGAGAAAGTGTTCGGGAAAATACAATGAAACCTGGTTAATCCGAAATGATCCTCCGCAAACTGGGCTTTCCAGACTAAGTGTAATAGTGTGATGTGACTGCTAAGCCAAGCTAGAAATGAATTAAAGCATGAGCTAGTATCCAGAGAGCGGGCGTTTCAATTGACAATAAGTCGTTAGCTGCACAGACACAACAAATACACTATGAAAACAAACAAAACATGTAATATAATACACAAGCATATAAATACATATATAAATAAGAAATGTGTTTGCACGAACTTGCAAAAACAGAAGCAGTCCCCTCACTAGTTCTAGAACTCCTCAGAAATCATTACCTACCATCACGTTTCCAGTATCGTACCATTACCTCTGGTTCGGTGAAATACATGCCTACTACAGCCCCATACCATACCTGCCTTGGTCTAACATAATGAGGATTCTAAAGCCATGTCCAAAGCAATGACATCACTCAGACATCAAGTCTGATTTCGTCGTTTCAATAATCATATTTCAATAATACGTGCTCAGTGCAAGACAACTTTACAACAGACTGCCCTGTACCTCAACTACCTTATAAAGAAGGTTTTACGCACTTCAGGTTGAATGATATCACTTCGTGTTGGAAAATACACGGCATGTTCAGAGCGATCTTAAAACAATGCCTTCAAAAATAGTTAGGAGAAAGTGACACCCCTGCCGATTTGGGACAAAAAACGTCTAATGCATAAACCATTTAAACGTCGTTCTTCCATCACAACGCCGAAGCAAAACACGTGGTTCATCACTAAACCAAACGTTTCGCCAGTATTGCAGATTCCCAATTTGAATGTTAATCTATTGAGTAAGCAGTGTTTGATGCATGTTTGAGAGAGTGAGTGAGTGAGTTTATATTTAACGCTTAATCGGTAAGGCTTCTGTCATATGTGTAAATGTTTGAATGCATTGCTGTTTTAGACAGACGAGTTGCACACGAAGAAGAAGTAGAAGAAGAAGATGATGAAAGGATGTTGGACATAATCTCAAGTGTTGATTTTGTTGATGGTTCTGTACTGCTGGATGGTGCAGAAATGAATGTCAACAACGCGAAGTGCCATATCAAATCGGCCAAGACTCAGTGTTTTAAGGAGAGGTTATCTGAACGACCATTGCATCGAGTTTATGTGCAGTGTCAATGTCAATGTGTGATTTTGCATCAGAATGTAAATATGATATGTTACAGTAGATTATGTAATGAATTTAATGAGACTCTCAAACACATTGTCAGTGGATGCCCAGCCTTGGCACAAACACAGTGTCTTAAACGATATGATGGAGTGGCTCGATCATTGTATTACCGTCTTCGCCAAGCTTGTGGTTTTGACACAGAGGTCCATCCGTGGTACGACATGGAAAATGATAAATACAAAATTCTTTGAGATAGGCCTGTTTACAGGGCAATAAACCAGATCGTGTGATAAATCCAATGAAATCATTTATCTCATTGAATTTTCTATCCCTTTTGACACTAATGTGATTGCCAAGATACAAGAAAAACATGGGAAATATGCCCACCTCGCTTTCGAAATTTCACGCTTGCACCCAAAGTACCAAGTTGTCCGATTCTCCATTGTTCTCGGTGTCTAAGATTTGGTACCTGTTGACTGAAATTGGGAGAGTACCCGGGTTTGCTACCAGGAATACAGCCCTTCTGACAATCTTGGTAATGCAGAAGTCTGCAGTGTTGGCGAGTCTTCACATTTTCCTAAACGTTCTGGGTGGGTTTGACTAGGCAGCGCTTCCTGGGAGAAGTCCCATTCCCTGTCTGGGCTGCGTGTAGAGGGACCAAGTGCCCTGAGCTGATGATAAACCTCACCAGACTGACTGGGCAAGGATCATCCAAACCCATTTTGTAGAACAGACGTCGGGCAGAGTACAAATCAATATACATGATGTGTTGGCCGAGGCTGTTGGTGACAGATGAAGTGAGTGTGGATCCAATGTGGTTTAACGGGGTATAACCTATATAACGACGCGCATGCACGTGTGTGTGTGTGTGTGTGTGTGTGTGTGTGTGTGTGTGTGTGTGTGTGTGTGTGTGTGTGTGTGTGTGTGTGTGTGTGTGTGTGTGTGTGTGTGTGTGTGTGTGTGTGTGTGTGTGTGTGGCTACGTGTACCAGTCCGGATACCACTGAAATACCATGCCTCCGTTTAACATAAATACCCCCTCAGTCCTTGTTATAGTCCCTTCTTGCCAAGTGCAAGGCAGGGTAACAACAAGAACCATCTTTTTACGGCTTGGTCACGGAAGCGGTCTTGGTGACAAATGAAGATGTGTGGGCCGAGGCTGTTGGAAAGTTGATGATGTGTGGGCCGAGGCTGTTGGTGAGTTGAAGTTGTGTCGACCGGGGCTTTTGGTGAGGGAGTTGAAGATATGTGGGCCAAGGATGTTGCTGATAGAGTTGAAGATGAGTGGGCCGAGGCTGTTGGTGACAGAGTTGAAGATGTGTGGGCCAAGGCTGCTGGTCACGGAGTTGAAGATGTGTGGGCCGAGGCTGCTGTTGAGTTGATGATGTGTTGGCCGAGGCTGTTTGTGACAGTTGAAGATGTGTGGGCCGAGGCTGTTGGAGAGTTGAAGTTGTGTCGACCGGGGCTTTTGGTGAGGGAGTTGAAGATATGTGGGCCGAGGATGTTGCTGATACAGTTGAAGATGTGTGGGCCGAGGCTGTTGGTGAGAGAGTTGAAGATGAGTGGGTCGAGGCTGTTGGTGACGGAGTTGAAGATGTGTGGGCCGAGGCTGTTGGTGACAGAGTTGAAGATGTGTGAGCCGAGGCTGCTGGTGAGTTGATGATGTGTTGGCCGAGGCTGCTGGTGACAGTTGAAGATGTGTCGGCCGAGGCTGTTGGTGAGTTGATGATGTGTTGGCCGAGGCTGTTGGTGACGGAGTTGAAGATGTGTGGGCCGAGGCTGTTTGTGAGAGAGTTGAACATGTGTGGGCCGAGGATGTTGGTGACGGAGTTGAAGATGTGTGGGCCGAGGCTGTTGGTGAGTTGATTATGTGTGGGCCGAGGCTGTTGGCGACTGAGTTGAAGATGTGTGGGCCGAGACTGTTGGTGACAGGGTTTAAGATGTGTGGGCCGAGGATGTTGGTGACAGAGTTTAACATGTGTTGGCCAAGGATGTTGGTGACGGAGTTGAAAATGTGTGGGCCGAGGATGTTGGTGAGTTGATGATGTGTGGGCCGAGGCTGCTGGTGACCGAGTTGAAGATGTGTGGGCCGAGGATGTTGGTGACAGAGTTGAAGAAGTGTGGGCCGAGGCTGCTGGTGACCGAGTTGAAGATGTGTGGGCCGAGGATGTTGGTGACAGAGTTGAAGATGTGTTGGCCGAGGATGTTGGTGACGGAGTTGAAAATTTGTGGGTCGAGGATGTTGGTGAGTTGATGATGTGTGGGCCGAGGATGTTGGTGACCGAGTTGAAGATGTGTGGGCCGAGGCTGCTGGTGACAGAGTTGAAGATGTGTGGGCCGAGTCTGTTGGTGAGGGAGTTGATTATGTGTGGGCCGAGGCTGTTTGTGAGTTGATTATGTGTGGGCCGAGTCTGTTGGTGAGGGAGTTGAAGAAGTGTGGGCCGAGGCTGTTGCTGATAGAGTTGAAGATGTGTGGACCTAGGCTGTTGGTGAGTTGAAGATGTGTGGGCCGAGGCTGTTGGTGAGAGAGTTGAAGATGTGTGGGCCGAGGATGTTTCTGACAGAGTTGATGATGTGTGGGCCGGGGCTGTTGGTGAGAGAGTTGAAGATGTGTGGGCCGAGGCTGTTGGTGACGGAGTTGAAGATGTGTGGGCCGAGGATGTTGGTGAGGGAGTTGATGATGTGTGAGCCGAGGCTGTTGGTGACAGAGTTGATTATGTGCGGGCTAATGCTGTTGGTGACAGAGTTGACGATGTGTGAGCCGAGGCTGTTGGTGACAGAGTTGATTATGTGCGGGCTAATGCTGTTGGTGACAGAGTTGAAGATGTGTGGGCCGAGACTATTGGTGACGGAGTTGAAGTTGTGTGGGCCGAGGCTGTTGGTGAGAGAGTTCAAGATGTGTGGGCCAAGGATGTTGGTGAGTTGATGATTTGTGGGCCGAGGCTGTTGGTGACGGAGTTGAAGATGTGTGGGCCGAGGCTGTTGGTGACAGAGTTGAAGATGTGTGGGCCGAGGCTGTTGGTGAGAGAGTTGAAGATGTGTTGGTCGAGGCTGTTGGTGACGGAGTTGAAGATATGTGGGCCAAGGCTGTTGGTGAGTTGATGATGTGTGGGCCGAGGCACTTGGTGACAGAGTTGATGATGTGTGGGCCGAGCCTGTTTTCAACAATGATGGTCTTGTATTGAAAAGAATTTACAGAAGACCACGCACATAAACGCGTGCGACTTCAACACTGCTGTGTTTGTCCAGTGTGATTCTGATTGCGTCTGTGGGGACTGTCAGCATCTATAAAGAAAACATCGCGGTATAACAAGGTGAATTGTGACAGATGTTGACTTAACTATTGATGGTTGACTTGGACCTGTGTGTTGAAAACGTCCACAACTCGGTCCCTAGGTTTACATGTGACAGGACGATGTACAGTTATATAAACAGCCCCAGCCCGGTCCCTAGGGATCACACATGACTATGTTACAGGTCGATGTACAGTGATGTAAACATCCCCAGTACAGTCCCTAGGGACCACACATGACTATGTTACAGTGCGATGTACAGTAATGTAAACGTCCCCAGTACAGTCCCTAGGGACCACAAATGACTATGTTACAGTGCGATGTACAGTAATGTAAACGTCCCCAGTACAGTCCCTAGGGTTACACATGACTATGTTAAAGGTCCATGTACAGTGATGTAAACATACCCAGTACAGTCCCTAGGGACCACACATGACTATGTGAAAGGTCAATGTACAGTGATGTAAACATACCCAGTACAGTCCCTAGGGATCACGCATGACTATGTGAAAGGTCGATGTACAGTGATGTAAACATACCCAGTACAGTCCCTAGGGATCACGTATGACTATATGAAAGGTCGATGTACAGTGATGTAAACATACCCAGTACAGTCCCTAGGGATCACATATGACTATATGAAAGGTCGATGTACAGTGATGTAAACATCCCCTGTACAGTTCCTAGGGATCACACATGACTATGTGAAAGGTCGAAGTACAGTGATGTAAACATACCCAGTACAGTCCCTAGGGATCACATATGACTATATGAAAGGCTGATGTACAGTGATGTAAACATACCCAGTACACTCCCTAGGTATCACAAATAGCTATATTACAGTTACGGTGTACAGTTATTTAAATGACCCCGGCACGATCCCTAGGGATCACAGAAGAATGTGTGACAGGGCGATGTACAGTCATGTAAGCCTCCCCAGCGCGGTCCCTAAGGATAACACATGGGTGTGTTACAGGGCGATGTACAGTTATGTAAACGTCCCCAGCACGGTCCCTAGGGATCACACATGAATGTGTTACAGGACGATGTACAGTGATGTAAACGTTCCCACCATGGACCCTAGGGATCACACATGAATGTGTTACAGGGCGATGTACAGTTATGTAAACGTTCCCAGCACGGTCCCTAGGGATCACACATGAAAGTGTGAGAGGGCGATGTACAGTTATGTAAACGTCCCCAGCACGGTCCCTAGGGATCACACATGGATGTGTTACAGGACGATGTACAGTTATGTAAACGTCCCCAGCACGGTCCCTAGGGATCACACATGGATGTGTTACAGGACGATGTACAGTTATGTAAACGTCCCCAGCACGGTCCCTAGGGATCACACATGGATGTGTTACAGGACGATGTACAGTTATGTAAACGTCCCCAGCACGGTCCCTAGGGATCACACATGGATGTGTTACAGGACGATGTACAGTTCTTTAAACGTTCCCAGCAGTATCCCTAGGGATCACACATGGATGTGTTACAGGACGATGTACAGTTATGTAAACGTAGCCAGCACGGTGTCTAGGGATCACAGGTCGATGTCATAGTTCTCGAGAAATGTTTGTATGTTGAAATTAACTTACTTCAACAAATGACAGATATTATTACTTTCTATAAAATCGCACTTGTGGTTAGCACCAACTGTATGGACAATTGTCTCTTCAATGTTAAACTACCGATGGTAAAACTTGCAACTTCTTACACTATGAAACTAACTTTACTTTTTGTCAAGCCGTAATCGTGACAATACATATATCCCCAAAAGGGATGGACATTTTTCTTCTCATTCAGACGGATGAATGCAAACTGTGTTAATATTGGCAACATGTACAATATGAAACTAACTTGACAGTGTGGAATAAAAATCCCCACAATGGATGCCTCATCGTCATAATTCCTCGTCCATGTCACCATCCAGTTCCTGTTGGAGTCCCGAAACCAGATGTCCTTCGTGAAGGTAGAGATGTCGGGGTAGATTTGGACCATAGCAAAGTAGAGGAAAGTATCTATCCCAACCTGTTGAAGAGAAAACAGTTTAATTTACTGAATGCGTCATCTTAAACAAAACACCTCCAAATTGTGTTTCCTACTAAACTCTTTGTCCGGCGAAAACAAAAATACATCGTTGATACATTTAATATGTAATAATCTCGAATTATTTCGTAATACAGAGGTAAAAAGTAACGTGGCTGTGTCAAGTCTAATATTTACAATAGGCTGAATAGTCAACTTAAGGGATCAGTAAGCTTTAATCCGAAAATGTTTGATTGTGTTTACTCAAAACATAATTAACACCATAATACTAAAATGTTTTCACTAAGAGACATTAGAACTATCTACCACACATACTGTGTTAACACTTTTCAAAACGCCCCTTGCAGCTTGTACACACCACCCTCGTGTTATTAAGCGATAGTCATGACGTCACAGGACGTTAAACATGAGCGCTAACTTAATGTCAAACTGTGTTAATGGAACTGAACTTAACACACCCTCTCTTTGACGTGCTTCGTCGGATTTTCATCTGAGAAAATATTGCCACATTTGCTATAAATAATCTGGATCTCGAACACTTTGTTCCGCAACATTTGTTCAGTAAAATCGGTATTTCAAATTTACTACCGGTCGAGTTTCAGAAAACTCTTTTCAAAGAAATAGTTTCATCTCCATTGATGCGATCATTAGCAGAAGCAAAGTCCTGTGTAGATTCGATACCGCTGGCGGAACAGTCAGAATGCAGAGTACTAAATGTCATAATAGAATCATTTGTATTGCATGTTTCCAGTTGTATTTTTATCTGTATATTCTGCATTTGTTCGAATCACGTGGAGCACTTCACAGTAACTCTGATTGAACCTATGTTCGTATCCTAAAGTTATCAAACCATGCTCCGTAAACAATGTTGTTGTGGGTAGTTTTACACATGCATCACACAATTATGAAAGTTTGGGGAAAATGTTTTCTGGGAGGGAAAGTGTTGGAAACTAAATTCCATGTACTGAACCAAGACTATTGTGGACATAGCGGTTGACGCAGAGTGGCCTCACAGACTGATAAGTCACTGACATCACTGTGAACAATAGAAGAAGCCAGTTGCACTTGGAGCCTCTTTTGCTTTACTGGCAATGACAGACGGGCATTATTCTTCACCCACAGGCAATCACACTCCAGCGGTCAATATACCCCTGCTGCCCGGATGGGTGTTACTTAATAAGTGTATTAGATTTACATGTGTCGGCGATTCCCACAGTTTCCTGAAGCGTATTTTCCTATAAATGACAAACATGCATAACGAGTCAAGCTAATATGTAATTTTTTTTATATAATAGATTTCAGTGCGACATGTTTTGTGTAGACACTACACCAACTAAGATACATTGTAAGTGATCTTTTCGATGAAGTTCTCGAGTGACAACATAATGCTAACGATAATATTCACCTCAATCCACGGAGCTGCATCGTCCGACCTTGGCTTCCAGACAGAGGTAGAACCTCCAATGACACTGCTCAATGGATACCTGAAATATTACAAGTCATACAGTGACCCTTTCCATACAAATAATGTGAAAAGAAACTTTGCATTTCATTTATGAATGGATGAGAAAATACATATATAAATATCACCACTACTATTCCAATAGTATATCAGTGTTAAAATAGGTAGCTCACCTGGATACATTAGTTGCTGTGTACCTGTACTTCGTGTATCTGATTCTGTACTTGTGTGGTGCTTGACATATCAGTTCTATTTCTATGAGTATTAGTCAGAGATGAGTTGATATTGACAATCAAGCAAGGTGCAATAAACTATTCTCATTTCAATTGGATTTCAATATTATGGTTAATATGTTGCTTATGAAATGTATTTATCTTGTGTAAAATAGTAATGCTTATATCGCATCACTTTAAGTCAGTTTTGGTGCTCAAGTCACACCCTTATCATTGAATTTGGTTGACGAATGAAATTCTTCGTCGTGAAGACTTTGTCCTTTTTGCATTGCCCTGTGACGGAACTTGGTACTCAATCCATATGTCGATTTGGAAAATTATACACATATCAACAATCCCAAAGCAATAAAGTAAGTACTTGAAAAAAACCAAAAGCTTTGATCTAATTGATATTTGAGAGAGAAAAATATAGATGCAAAAAAATACACATGGTGAAAGAAAAAGCCAAAACAACAAGCTGGACTTATTTTTGGTCTCACAAAACATTGCAAATATAACTATTGATTCTACAATGACCCCCGGATGCAAATCCAATCACTTTGCAATAACATTAACTTTTTTCAAATACAATTAGCAAAAGAAAAAGGTAGGGACTACCAGAAGTTAAATACTTCTGTATTGTTTAACAATCAATATATCCAAATAGTGAACGATACACTAGAAGAAACAAAGCTAAAATGTTCAAACAGGAAATGTTCCAAAGATGAACCATAAAAACTGAACACCAAAACTTAAAATTAAAAATCAGTGATACCTTCTTTTCTTAGAAACATTAAAAGAAGAATCAAAGGGATTTCAAATAAGAAACAGAATCCAGTGGTACGAGGAGGGAGAGAAACCATCAAAATATTTTTGTCATCTTGAAAACAGGAACTATACCAGTAAACTAATTAACAGTATTATATCTGAAAAAGGGGATTCAATAACCGATAGACAATCCATCTTAACTGGACAAAGACATTTTTATGAGAAACTTTACTCTTCAAGTGAAGAAATAACTTAGGAATCCAAACATTTATTACACAAACTTAACACACCAAAACTTATTAAATCACAGTTTGATTATTTAGAAGACCTGATTAACATGAATGAAATAACAAAGGCCGTAAAATCTATGAAAAATAACAAAAGCCCAGGTATTGATAGATTCCCTGTAGAGTTTTTCATTTTTTCTGGAAGGATCTTAGAATATGGATATATAGAGTAAAAGTGAATTTATTGATGAACTAAACAACATATTGTACAGATTCATCTGGAATGACAAAGGGGACAAAATAAAACGAACAACTTCAATAAAAAAATGTGACGAAGGCGGACTGAGAATTATAGAGGTGAGGAATTTTAAATTTCTCTAAAACTGTCAGTTCTCAAAAACATCTTCAAAACAAAAAGTGTATAACCCTAGCATATCTCCACTGAAAAACAATTTCCTACTTGGGGCCAATATTACAAAATGTATACACTTAGCTAACACTTACTGGATAGCTGCTTGGGGAACATTGTATAGAAGACACAAAACTAACTCCACAAACAATGAAGAAGTACTATCAGAACCTCCCTGGTGTAACCATCAGTTTAAAAAAATGATTTCATTATAAAAAATTGTTTTTAAAGGGAATTTACACTATTAAGGATATCTGTGATGAAGGTGATATAATGCCCTTCAATACACTAAAGACAAAATACCAAATTAAAGGCACAATTATTGACTATTACCGAGGAAAGTCTCTCTGAGGGCGACTCTCAAAATTTCCATAAAAGCTACAAGCTTTCTAAATCACTGACTACACATCTCCCTGTGTGTAAGTCATGAACTGCTAAATACATGTGAACATGAATTTGATAAACAGTGATATAAAAATGTTATAAACGTCATGTCATTAAATGAATGTTTGGAAATGTTAACAAATGAACGTTTTGAACTGATCGCTGCTAATACAAGTCAATGCTGTAATTTAAAAAAAGAATGTTTCAATACCCCCATATGACAGGGCAGCACGTGACAATAGCCCCACGTGACTGGGCTGCACGTGACAATAGCTCCAGTGTCACTATGCCGACAATAGCCCATGTCACCGTGCCACTGCAACGTCGTCTCCAGTGACAATATCCAACGTTACTGTGCCACCTGCGACAATAGATCCACGTCACTCTGCCACACACGAAACTATCACCACGTCACTGTACCACCCTCGACAATACCCTCCCCCCACCCGCGACCATATGGGTACAATGTGTGAAGTGCATTTCTGGTGTCCCCCGCCATGATATTGCTGGAATATTGCTAAAAGCGGCGTTAAACCATACTCACTATAATTGACATTGCTCACTCATCTGTGATATAACCGTTCCACTGGGCAGAAATCGCATGCGCTGATTATTTATTTTCATCCCGAAGAGTTGACTTTGTCGATTGTACGTGATTGCGTGATTACACATCAATGTGTTGGAACCCTGATCGGAATATTTTAAATAATGACACCAAGTCATAAATCCGATATGCTGTTCTGATTCTAATCTAGTGGGGATGACAAAAACGTACCCATTGCCCTGTGAAGAAGCGTTGATCGCCTCTGTCATCCACGTTCCAGTCAGACCTGTGAAAGAAACAGGAGCGAAGTTACTACAAATTACAAATAGTTCAACGTGGAGCATGTTTTAGAACATATAGACACATGTATATAAATATTGGTATTTTTTAGCAATAGAATTCACAATGAGCTTGTTTATTGGAATACATGTATCTTTAATAATGATTTCACGTGAAATGGCATTGTTGATGCATTGCAGATTCCGTTTGTGACGTGACACATACATATTCGTTTGTGACGTGACAAATTCATGTTCGTTTGTTACGTGACATACATATTCGTTTGTGACGTGACACATTCATATTATTTTGTGACGTGACATATTCATTTTTGTTTGTGAAGTGACACATACATATTTGTTTGTGACGTGACACATATATATATTCGTTTGTGACCGTGACAAATTCATATTCGTTTGTGACGTGACACATTCCTATCAGTTTGTGACGTAACACATTCCTTTCAGTTTGTGACGTGACACATACATATTCGTTTGTAAGGTGACACATTCCTATCAGCTTGTGAAGTGACACATTCCTAACAGTTTGTGACGTGACACATACATATTCGTTTGTGACGTGACATTCATATTCGATTGTGACGTGACATACATAATCGTTTGTGACGTGACACATACATATTCGTTTTTGACGTGACACATTCATATTCGTTTGTAACGTGACACATACATATATCCGTTTGTGAAGTGCCACATTTATATTCGTTTGTGACGTGACACATTCATATTCGTTTGTAACGTGACACATACATATTCGTTTTTGACGTGACACATTCATATTCGTTTGTGACGTGACATACATAATCGTTTGTGACGTGACACATACATATTCGTTTTTGACGTGACACATTCATATTCGTTTGTAACGTGACACATACATATTCGTTTGTGAAGTGCCACATTTATATTCGTTTGTGACGTGACACATTCATATTCGTTTGTAACGTGACACATACATATTCGTTTGTGACGTGACACATACATATTCGTTTGTGACACACACATATTCGTTTGTGACGTGACACATACATATTCGTTTGTGACGTGACATACATATTCGTTTGTGAATCAAACATATTCTTTTTTTTGTGAAGTGACACATTCATATCAGTTTGTGACATGAGACATACATATTAATTTGTAACCTGACAAATACATATTCGCTTGTGACGTGATGCATTCATACTATATAGAATACTTAAAGAGCTCCCTTGTAATGCCAGTTTTATGAAATGAGTAAATTGTTCTGGTATCTGAAGAGCGAAAATCCGTCTATGAAGCTATGAAACTATGAAACGAGTTTCATAAAATTGGCATTACACGGGTCCGAGTTTGGTGTTTTATTTATTACTTGCCGTGTACTACTTTTCAAAAAGCCACCGTCGTGTGTAAATAGGCGGCAGAGATCTACGCTATGGACAGCATCACCCAATTGAGTTTAACAGAATAATACTTCAAACACATCAAAAGTTGGCATTTATTATATGAATACCATACAACGGTCTACCTTTCGACTTCAGGTGTCCGTTCCACAAAGCTATCCTAATGCTGAGATGATTGTAACTCCCATACTTTAACATAAACTTATGACTGTCGCTGCGCTACGATCGCTTTGTGGATCGGGACCCTGCAGCACAAAGTTTAGAAATACGTCACTATACCCTATGACGTAATTTGTGACATTATTTTATTTAATAAAGAAATAACATAAGTCAGTATTTTGAAATAAACTATTTGCAATAACAAATGTAAACGTAATTAATAACATTTTACAATTATATAATGAACATTATATATATTATATATTCCAAACTACCATTCGTATTGTAACATAATCATTGAAACTGTCTGCGTATGAACTAATCACGACTACTTCCGTCAATTTTGTTTTGACGTAAAAAACATGGACAATTTCATTCGGGAGCTTCCATATCGCGATTAATGAAAAAACGTAGGAAACTGACAATACCAGCACTTCTATCGATGGCTAGGCAGTGCATTGATCTTTGGATTTTATACTGTAGATGCTGTTGGAAAGACTATCAACTCGAGTTGAATGTTATAAAATTTGGTTACGCTGTGTGAAGACATAAAAACATTTTTAAAGACATTTGAAACCGCGACGTCATAACAGTACGGTACTGAGCGGTTTACCCAACCAGCTGACGGCCAGGCACCATGAGGGTTGAGTGAGAACAAGGGGCAGTAATGACGGCCAGGCACCATGAGGGTTAAGTGAGAACAAGGGGCAGTAATGACGGCCAGGCACCATGAGGGTTAAGTGAGAACAAGGGGCGGTAATGACGGGCGGGCACCATGAGGGTTAAGTGAGAACAAGGGGCAGTAATGCTTATCCCAGCAGGAACGTGCTTACTACAGTCCGAGTCGTGACTCAGACAGGCATGTGTGTAATAATACTGTGCATGATGTTAACGCAATGAAACAAAGGAGCTGTCGACTGTTTAGAAACGCATTAGATAAATCAATAAACTGGTTTGATGTCGCCAAGTCCAGGTGACTCAGGTCAGTTTGAAAAAAAAGCGCGCTCAATTCGGATGGATGGAGGAAAGTCTGCTATCAATAAACGTTTGAAGGTTTTCAGACCATGTTGTTCTAGTTTTCGTTGAAACATTGGAGTAGCATGTTTTCGGACCATTTTGTTCTAGTTTTCGTTGAAACATTGCAGTAACATGTCCTAAGGTCATGTTGTTCTAGTTTCCGTTGAAACATTGTAGGGGGACGCACGGGTGGGCTAGTCGTCTAAGGCGCCGCGATTCGCTGTGCAGAGTTGCGTCCCCTGGACACGCCAGAAACCTATGATTGTGGGTTCGAATCCCGGTTCACCCCAATTATGTTTCTAGGTTTGTCAGCACCATACCCGTGTTCGTGGGTTTCACCGAAGTGGTAAACGTCTGAGACCTGCATCACTTCGGGCTTTCCTCCCGCATTAAGCTGACACGCCGTGATATAACTGGAATAATGTTAAACGCGGCGTTAAACCCAACTCACTCACTCACTCACTGAAACATTGTAGTAACATGTTTTAAGACTATGTTGTTCTAGTTTTCGTTGAAACATTGTAGTGACATGTTTTAAGACCATGTTGTTCTAGTTTTCGATGAAACAAAGAAAACATCGGATAAGCCTGCCACAGAACCCTTGGTGATCATAAATGAGCAATACCAGGTCGATATCCAGCTGATCAAACATTGAAAACATTGGCAGCCAAATTCACGAGCTCGTTTCCCAATCCGATCTCTTCTCTATCTCAACACCTCATATGTGTTTGTCATAAAAACGCATCTTAGCTTCATGTTTTTTATTTTAAAACCTGTCCTATATATAAAATCTCACGAGATACGCCATGAATTGGTGCACGAATGTCCACGCTCACCTGCACTGTTTCCAAATCCAAGGAGTATTGTCCATGAAACGCATATCATTCTTACAGGATATCCAGTATTCCATGACTTTCGAACAGCCTTGACTTGGCGAAACCGTGTTTGTAGTAAAAATAACCGTCTCCTTATAGAAACGACGAGCTTCATGCCTCAATCCTCATATGAGAAAATACGCCAGTATCTGAGAAGCCTTGTGAAAGAAAAATATCAACACATGTACACATACAATTGAGCCCCGGCATGTCCACACATAATGTTACTTTGGGAGACGTGTTCCCAATGCATGCCAGGCTTGTTGAAGAGGTTTTATCATGTACACCACAGTGTTATTACATACACGTATTTCCATACAGCATAGTGTTATTACATCTATGCTTTTCCATACAGCACAGTGTTATTACATCCATGCCATTCCATACAGCACAGTGTTATTATATACACGTCTTTCCATACAGCATACAGCATAGTGTTATTACATCTATGCTTTTCAATACAGCACAGTGTTATTACATACATGCCTTTGTGATTTTCTCACAATGACCAATGAAAGGCAAATTGCCTGAAACTCTGAACTTGAAAAATCAACATCACACTAATTAGTAAATAACAAAGTCAGACATGTTTAACTAATGTCTGAACATTAACTCTTTCAACACCAGTCAACCAGAAGTGTTTACTGCTGGGACACCAAGTTCCCAGAGACTCTTGTGTGATAGATGAAGCCAACATTGATCAAAGAAAATATCTGCTTGTAAAATATATTTGCCACTACATGTTATACACCATTTGAAAGGTCTGATCCTATGGTTTATAAATATGAAAGTTATGTTTTTCACATTATTTAAAATAATGCATTTACAACTTAATTAAGTTGGTTGTAAATAAAAAATGTAAGCTAACACGTTGTTAACATCGAGATTAAGGACCAAGGAAGGGAAAACTTGACGATTTTCGGCAAATATAAGAATTCATAAAATCCACTTACCTATTTCTGTTTTATTTTCATTGTTTACGTAATTGGAAAATCATTTTTAATAAAGGATTATGAATAGTTTCTGTCATCACCCATTTCCCGATAACAGCGGCTGTCCGCTCAGGAACATGAAGAAATACCCCCGTTTTCGAGGCTTCGTATGAATAAAACGTTCTTCGAAGAATGGCATATGACACATCGCTGGAAAGCTTATTCTTTCATCTACATTCTCGTAACATCGACTGTTTTTTCCGTAGTTATAACAAGCGATTTCGTTTGATTAAAATTGGTTTCTAATGACGCTTTCTTGTCGAAATCTGCTACAAGTTTCGTGATTTGACAATTTTGAGCACGTGACCTAAGGCAGTCAATCAAATTACAGCTGTGATACCAAGCTCGTGTTTGATTTCAGATGTTGGCGAAAGATGTTTTGTTAAATCGTGCTATTCTGAACGTTTTAAGCAGGAAATCACGATATATATTAAAAATATGGAACTTCTTGAACGTATCGTGCTTGGTTACGAGCTGTGACAAAGATTTTTCATGCTTATATTTTTGCATTAAACATTGTGTCCGAGCCGAGAATTCAAGGCGACGAAAGCCGAGATGTCATTTGACTTACATTACACGCGATAGCACGAAAAGATGGAAATAATAACTTTGATGTAATATATTTTTGTTGATATCATTTATTACTTTGTATAATATATTTAAAGATTTGTTTAAAACTTCTTTATTTTGCTCTTTGACATGTTCGATGTGGACCCGTATTTCAATAACATCGCGGGAATATTAGTGAATATTTTTTTAATTTATCGATAAAAAATGATAAATTGAATTGGAATATGTATTTCACACATTATGAAATGTGATAGATTTAATAAATGAATGATATTACAGATAGGTCCATAAAAATATATACTATTTTGACGTGACTACGACTTGGCCGGTAAACCGGCCTACGGTGTCTGGGGACTCGATGCTTCTTGGCCGGAAAGCCAGTCGCCATGTTTGAAGGCTGAAACTAATACGAGTCATTTGATTGGTCGTACTACGAAAATCAACCAATCATATTTGTCTTTGTATCATCGCTTGATTTTCTTTACTGACTGCGTTGGAACAAAACGGACGATGTAAACAGCGCCAAATACGTTTTGTTACTCGTAGTATATCAGCTGTGTATCGTTTTGTATCGATACATAGACCCACGAATCGATAGTCGTATCGAACTGTAATGTATCGTGATACATCGATGTGTCGGTGAATCGTCCCAGCCCTACAATATATTGTACCGTACATTTAGCAGAACTGTCACAAGATAGCGTGACTTTTCTGTCTCGAAAGTGGCGCGATAGTGGCGCGATAGTGGCGCGAAAGTGGCGTGAAAGTGTCGCGATAGTGGCGTGAAAGTGGCGCGATAGTGCCGTAAAAGTTTCGCGAAAGTGCCGCGATCTTGTAAAATGTTATCGCGAAAATGGCGCGAAAGTGTCTCGAAAGTGGCGCAATAGTTTCGCGTTAATGGCTCAAAGGTGGCGCGATAATTCCGCGTTAGTGCCGCAATAGTGGCGAGAAAATTAGGGGAAGTTACTTATGAAATGTAGTGTACTTGGCTATCACACACCACAGTGTTATAACAGACATGCGTTTCCATACAGCACAGCGTTATAACATACATGCCTCTCCACAAACACATTGTTTTCCATTCAGTACTTCGTTATTACATACATGTCTTTCCCATACAGTACTGTGTTATTATATACATGCCTTTCCATACAGTACTGTGTTATTACATACATGCCTTTCCATTCAGTACTGTGTTATTACATACATGTCTTTCCCATACAGTACTGTGTTATTATATACATGCCTTTCCATACAGTACTGTGTTATTACATACATGCTTTTCCATTCAGTACTGTGTTATTACATGCATGCCTTTTCATATACTACTGTGTTATTACACATCCATATTGGTAATTACTTTCCTATTTCGAAACTCAATTTTTATCCCTTGTCACTTAATCAAGGGTCGGACTAATTAATACATTGCAATTGAACTTTGGACCGTTCTTATATCCGACTGAGGTATCGACTTCTGCAAATCCATTTGTATGACGCTCGAATGAATCCTATTTACCATGTCGTCATGCATGTCTATTTGCATAACTCTAGGCTCATTGATATCTAAAGAAATCCTGAACGTGCGATTCGTATTACTGTTATACCACTACTCTAGGCTAATTCTATCAATAGGAGCGTTGGGGCAGCCTTGTGGTAAAAGCATTCGCTCGTCACACCGTAGGTCCCGGGTTCGAATCCCTACATGGGTGACTGGTGTCGCCCGCTTTCCATAGTTTTTCAAAAAAAGGTTGACAAATAACCCGCCAAACCTAGTACAAAGACAGATGTTTTAATTTCTTCAAACCTTTTCTGCGCTGTTTGGACTGACCAAGACATTTCTTGGAATTATGCGAGAGAGGTCATTTCTTGGAAATCGAACATGCCATTATCATTGTAGGGGTGACAGGTTGTAAAAATGGTTTTTAAAATGCTAAACGAATATATTTCCACAACAAACTTTATGAATTAACATTCTATTGTGGGTTTAACATGTGTAAGTCTCATTTGTTAGTTAGCAATAACCTCATAAGATAATTTAAAAAATCAAAATAAATGCCTCTCCACCCCGAACTTGGATGTGGCAGAACTTGACCTACATCACGGTTACTCACACCTCACAACTGGCAATGGCTGACAGTGTTGTGTTTACGTTTTGTGCCTCAGACAACTTACACGATCAAGATGACAACCCCGATCTTTGATGTGGTTCAACATTAACCTGTAGATTTACTGGGAATGAGCCTGCTGGTACAATGCGATTGCCAATGGAACTGAGTATGACTGTTGACATGGTTGAAGCCGCTTTTTAGGCTGCAGACGAGCCGGCTATTTTGACACAAGGAATCTGCATGATTTGACCTGTCAATTTCAAGATTACACATATTCAAAGCCAGCGTGTGAAAGCAATGAGACCTTTGTGTCCAAGAAATAGTGGTACGTGTATAATTTTCCTAATTGTGCGTGTTCTGAAATGAATTTCATCAAGTTTGATAAGCATCGGTTTCAGTGACGCGGGACATTGTATCCGTGATCTTTCGAAGGGAGGAGTGTTTTCTGATAGATTTTCAAATCTCCTGCCAAATCCTTATGGTGGTGGTTGACTGACATGGCAATGAATATAGATCACAAAGAGGTTTGTAAACAACATGTTGTCATAAATAAAGTTTCTTCGAACACATTTTTATAATGTTATATTTTACTTTCATTGTTGGTTGTTTCAATGGCGATCAAAATTACCTGCTCTGAGTCTGTTCATCATCGAACATGTCCCTAACAGTTTCATAAACTGTATGCAAAAGTTATGCCTTTGTAAAGTCTTGTAATCTCATCATCGAAGCAGTCAGGGATAGGGCCTAGAACATCATATCGTCGCCAAATACATCCTATATCAAACTACTGTATTTCCTCTATTAGACCCTATGTCGTCTATCAATTTCGCGAGAGCCGTTGTATCGGTGTGTATAAGAGACCTGGCTTGTATTAGAGACCCAGCGAGGAAAAATAGATACGTTTTACCGTTCATGTAGGGGTGATAGATCGGCAGCTATTTTTTTATGAATCGATATGTAAGGCTATTCATGTATTCATACACACGTTTATTTGGGTGAAAAGGCTTGATATATTTGAAAGGGGTTACCGTAACAAAAAGCAAAACCTCTTTTTAACCAATCAGAATCAAGCATTCATCAATATCATGGTAGAATGTCAGTTAACACCCTTTCACGTCGCCGGATCTTACGTATGTGCATGTGAGTAGGTCAATGACCTTGCCCCACGTTACGTAATACCTCTATCTAGAAAACCTGACTGCCATGATCAGTCACACAGAGAGGCCCAGATCATCGACAGAAGCGGGCAGATTGTACGTCGCCTCAACAACGACCAGTGTACACCCGACTTCCCGACTCAGTGTTAGTGACAGAGCGGATCTCCGCACCAGGGGAACATATTTGCCACTGGGTCCCGGTGTGCGTTCTGTAATGTGATTACCATTATATGTACCATTTCGACATGATTCAACCTGCAACAATAAACACGGCTGTTGTCGTCTTAAGTTTTGCCTCTGAGTTTTGTCTTCCGTCATCACCCTGAGCCAACATCCGAGGGCGAAACGTACGCCCTTGGACAATATGACTAAAAAAACAGTCTGAAACGAGGCCCAGCAATATGCAACTCAAAAATATGAAACACTATAGCTTAATTCAGTATCAAGATGTATACTTTCATGAATTGTTTGGATTATCTGCGTATCAGAGGGACTCTCAACTGATGCTGACTTCAGCTGTACACACTGTCTTACATCGGCACGTGTGTCTCTAACGTCAAGACCTCCCTACTACAACGACATAAAAATATCATGTTTACAACTGTTCCTTGACACACGTTGTCCTTGAGTCTTCATATCTCAAGTGCGATCCTGCTAGAATTGAATTTCTGTGTTATCCATATGTGAGTCTAAACAGGATTTTAACTCAGAATTAAATACTGTTTTTGACACATTTCACTTTATGAAGTAAAGTGTTCACTTTGAAAACAATATAACAAACGAAATTTCAAAGAATTGAAGATGTCCTTTGGCGTACTGTTTCATCCATGGTACAAATCTCATTCGACACCTACAGGTAAATAATAAGTCTTCTGCTTAAATTGTCAATACAAACATAGAATAAGTATAACAGAATAAACGAACCGAGTCGAATGTTCATTTGTATTGAACGTCATAATGTTACTTGTCAATACTGTTATCTCTGAAATTTGGATCTGAGGTGAAACAATCTTGAATTCTCACCTGGTGTGCTGTAGTACGTATAACCAGGTGCGGAGACCATCCCTAAAGGGTAGCCCAGGGGGCAGATACAGTCCTGGGTGGCGCGGTTGTAGAGGAGGTTACCAGCACTGAATCGGTCACAGACCAACAAACACTCCACTAGACTAGTCGCATTGCCACGTCGTCTTATGCCTTTCTCGATCTTCTTATCCTGGAAGTAGCTCACGGAAAGGTCTAATTGATACGTTGTATTACATTGTGTCACAGTTATGCCCTGACCAGTGGCCATACCGATGTACAAAGCAATTGCCCACACTGTCCAGTATCCGGCCATCTTCTCTGTTGGTAGTTCCTGCTGGTTCGTCGACTGAACGTCACTCCTGCTACCTGCAATGTTCTCTCCAAGTCCTGTGAATCACGGGCATCAAGTATCGTCTCCAGGATACACTTGGATGATCTAACTGGTGCAGTGTTATTGTGGTCATACCCAGGCTCCTTGCCAACAGGGTAAGAATGGTTACATTATTAACGTGTTTCACCGATTGGCTGTTCAGTATTTTTAGATTGCTGGCATGCTTCTCTGATTGGTTGGAACTTCTGATTGACGTTACCCTACATTGGTTACCCATTGTGTTTTAATGCGCGAAATCGTTAGTTTTAGTTAAAGTTCAGGCAATTTCTTTTTCTATTGCTTATTCCAAGCTGAATGATGCATATTTAAGTAGGATACTTCACAATGTTTGTGTGGATGATTATCGACATTTCAGTTGTGGGAGATGAGCTGGGGAGAGGCATAACCAGACACATCGATGACGGGTACAAGAAATATGCAGTAGCTGATCAGATGAGCTGAGATGGCCTTACGGCTGACGCTTAGTACAAAATCGAAGAGAAATACTGGAGCTGCGTTGCTAAATGAACATGAATATTAGAATGATGTACCATATTTTTGATGGATCAAAAGCCAGTGCTATTCCTTCAGGTGTTATGTGTTCTGGTATATTCTGATGTGTTATGATTTTTCTCTGAAAACAGGAGACAAACAATTTAGAGGGATCGACAACAACACAATAGAAGGACGCTGAACTTATCAATATTTTGGGAGGAACCATAGTACTTGTGTCAGTCTCTCAAACCAGTCATGTTTGTATGTTGTGCAAAGAAGATGATGACAGTACATACGCATCATGATCTCTTTGAAGACGGAAGCAGGTTCTGCTCCACGATCCTAAGGTCAGTTGAGACCACACAATGATGCTTCCTCCTCTACAGCATATGCCAGCCACCGCTATGATGCTTCCTCCCCAACATAGGTAAACCAACACAATGATGCTTCCTCCCCATCATAGGTCAACCCACACTATGATGCTTCCTCCCCAACATAGGTAAACCTACACAATGATGCTTCCTCCCCAACATAGGTAAACCAACGATATGATGCTTCCTCCCCAACATAGGTAAACCCACACTATGATGCTTCTTCCCGTACATAGGTAAACCCACACTATGATGCTTCCCCCCCAACATAGGTAAACCCACACTATGATGCTTCCTCCCAAAAATAGGAAATACCACACTAGGATGCTTACCTCCCCAACATAGGTAAACCCACACTATGATGCTTCCTCCTAAACATAGGTAAACCCATACTATGATGCTTCCTCCCCAACATAGGTAAACCCACACTATGGTGCTTCCTCCTAAACATAGGTAAACCCACACTATGATGCTTCCTCCCCAACATAGGTAAACCCACACTATGATGCTTCCTCCCCAACATAGGTTAACCCGCACTTTGACGCTTCCTCCCCATCAAAGGTAAACCCACACTATGATGCTCCCTACCCAACATAGGTAATCACACACTATAATGCTCCCTACCCAACATTGGTAAACCCATAAAATGATGCTTCCTCCCCAACACAGGTAAACCGACACTATGATGCTTCCTCCCCAACATAGGTAAACACCACACTATGATGCTTCCTCCCCAACATAGGTAAACCCACGCTATGATGCTTCCTCCCCAACAAAGGTAAACCCACACTATGATGCTTCCTCCCCAACATAGGTAAACCCACACTATGATGCTTCCTCCCCAACAAAGGTAAACCGACACTATGATGCTTCCTCCCCAACATAAGGAAACCCACACTATGATGCTTCCTCCCCAACACAGGAAAACCCACACTATGATGCTTCCTCCCCACCAAAGGTAAACCCACACTATGATGCTTCCTCCCCAACATAAGGAAACCCACACTATGATGCTTCCTCCCCATCAAAGGTAAACCCACACTATGATGCTTCCTCCCCAACATAAGGAAACCCACACTATGATGCTTCCTCCCCAACACAGGTAAACCCACACTATGATGCTTCCTCCCCAACATAAGTAAACCCACACTATGATGCTTCCTCCCCATCAAAGGTAAACCCACACTATGATGCTTCATCCCAAACATAGGGAAACCCACACTATGATGATTCCTCCCCAACATAGGTTAACCGCACTTTGACGCTTCCTCCCCATCAAAGGTAAACCCACACTATGATGCTCCCTACCCAACATAGGTAAACCCACGCTATGATACTTCCTCCCCAACATCGGTAAACCCACAATATGAAGCTTTCTCCCCAACATAGGTAAACCCACACTATGATGCTTCCTCCCCAACATAGGTAAACCCACACTATGATGCTTCCTCCCCAACATAGGTAAACCCACACTATGATGCTTCCTCCCAAACATAGGTAAACCCACACTATGATGCTTCCTCCCCAACATAGGTAAACCCACACTATGATGCTTCCTCCCCAACAGGGGTAGACCCACACTATGATGCTTCCTTCCCAACATAGGTTAACCCACACTTTGACGCTTCCTCCCCATCAAAGGTAAACCGACACTATGATGCTCCCTACCCAACATAGGTAATCACACACTATAATGCTCTCTACCCAACATCGGTAAACCCACACGATGATGCTTCCTCCCCAACACAGGTAAACCGACACTATGATGCTTCCTCCTCGACATAGGTAAACCCACACTATGATGCTTCCTCCCCAACATAGGTAAACCCACAATTTGATGCTTCCTCCCCAACATAAGTAAACCCACACTATGATGCATCCTCCCCAACATAGGTAAACCCACACTATGATGCTTCCTCCCCATAAAAGGTAAACCCACACTATGATGCTTCCTCCCCAACATAAGGAAACCCACACTATGATGCTTCCTCCCCAACACAGGTAAACCCACACTATGATGCTTCCTCCCCAACATAAGTAAACCCACACTATGATGCTTCCTCCCCATCAAAGGTAAACCCACACTATGATGCTTCCTCCAAAACATAGGGAAACCCACACTATGATGCTTCCTCCCCAACATAGGTTAACCGCACTTTGACGCTTCCTCCCCATCAAAGGTAAACCCACACGATGATGCTTCCTCCCCAACATAGGTAAACCCACACTATGATGCTTCCTCCCCAACACAGGTAAACCCACACTATGATGCTTCCTCCAAAACATAGGGAAACCCACACTATGATGCTTCCTCCCCAACATAGGTTAACCGCACTTTGACGCTTCCTCCCCATCAAAGGTAAACCCACACTATGATGCTCCCCGACCAACATAGGTAATCACACACTATAACGCTCCCTACCCTACATCGGTAAACCCACACGATGATGCTTCCTCCCCAACACAGGTAAACCCACACTATGATGCTTCCTCCCCAACACAGGTAAACCCACACTATGATGCTTCCTCCCCAACATAGGTAAACCCACAATATGATGCTTCCTCCCCAACATAGGTAAACCCACAATATGATGCTTCCTCCCAAACATACGGTAAACCCACAATATGATGCTTCCTCCCCAACATAGGCAAACCTACACTATGATGCTTCCTCCCCAACATAGGGAAACCCACACTATGATGCTTCCTCCACAACATAGGTAAACCCACACTAGGATGCTTCCTCCCCAACATAGGTAAACCCACAATATGATGCTTCCTCCCCAACATAGGCAAACCTACACTATGATGCTTCCTCCCCAACATAGGGAAACCCGCACTATGATGCTTCCTCCACAACATAGGTAAACCCACACTATGATGCATCCTCCCCAACATAGGTAAACCCACACTATGATGCTTCCTCCCCATAAAAGGTAAACCCACACTATGATGCTTCCTCCCCAACATAAGGAAACCCACACTATGATGCTTCCTCCCCAACACAGGTAAACCCACACTATGATGCTTCCTCCCCAACATAAGTAAACCCACACTATGATGCTTCCTCCCCATCAAAGGTAAACCCACACTATGATGCTTCCTCCCCAACACAGGTAAACCCACACTATGATGCTTCCTCCCCAACATAAGTAAACCCACACTATGATGCTTCCTCCCCATCAAAGGTAAACCCACAACATGATGCTTCCTCCCCAACACAGGTAAACCCACACTATGATGCTTCCTCCCCAACATAAGTAAACCCACACTATGATGCTTCCTCCCCATCAAAGGTAAACCCACACTATGATGCTTCCTCCAAAACATAGGGAAACCCACACTATGATGCTTCCTCCCCAACATAGGTTAACCGCACTTTGACGCTTCCTCCCCATCAAAGGTAAACCCACACTATAACGCTCCCTACCCTACATCGGTAAACCCACAATATGATGCTTCCTCCCCAACATTGGTAAACCCACACTATGATGCTTCCTCCCCAACACAGGTAAACCCACACTATGATGCTTCCTCCCCAACACAGGTAAACCCACACTATAACGCTCCCTACCCTACATCGGTAAACCCACAATATGATGCTTCCTCCCCAACACAGGTAAACACACACTATGATGCTTCCTCCCCTACACAGGTAAACCCACACTATGATGCTTCCTCCCCAACACAGGTAAACCCACACTATGATGCTTCCTCCCCAACACAGGTAAACCCACACTATGATGCTTCCTCCCCAACACAGGTAAACCCACACTATGATGCTTCCTCCCCAACACAGGTAAACCCACACTATGATGCTTCCTCCCCAACACAGGTAAACCCACACTATGATGCTTCCTCCCCAACACAGGTAAACCCACACTATGATGCTTCCTCCCCAACACAGGTAAACCCACACTATGATGCTTCCTCCCCAACACAGGTAAACCCACACTATGATGCTTCCTCCCCAACACAGGTAAACCCACACTATGATGCTTCCTCCCCAACATAGGTAAACCCACAATATGATGCTTCCTCCCAAACATACGGTAAACCCACAATATGATGCTTCCTCCCCAACATAGGCAAACCTACACTATGATGCTTCCTCCCCAACATAGGGAAACCCACACTATGATGCTTCCTCCACAACATAGGTAAACCCACACTAGGATGCTTCCTCCCCAACATAGGTAAACCCACAATATGATGCTTCCTCCCCAACATAGGCA